TTTAATTATTACATTCCTTTTGTTATACAAAGAAACAAACTGAAAAAGAAGCAACTACACCATCGTTAGGTATATTACGATATTCTATATGACAAATGATGCATGTACAACCAATGTTATCCCATGCCGCTGACAAGGAGCCAAAATGACCCGGGGCTCGAGATTGTGGTTTGCCTCGACCCACACCACTAAGAACGCCTGGAGACGAAGTTGTAAAAGTGAAAGATGGATACCCATTCTGGAATTCTCTTGACCAAATGTGCTCAGTTTCGAGACGAAGGGCAATTTGTCGACGTTTGTTTAAAAGTCGGTGAAGAAACTTTTCCCGCTCATCGCAATGTGCTCGCTTCGTACAGCGATTACTTCTACGCCATGTTTGCAGATGGAATGAAGGAGTCGAACCAGGAAGTGATCGAGCTGAAAGATGAAAGCCTTTCACCACACGTCTTCAAGGTCGTTATGGACTGCATCTACAGCGGAGATCTTCAGATCAATGAGGAAAACGTGTTTGAAGTTCTTGCTACCGCAGACTATCTTCAAGTGAGGAATGTTCTTCAACAATGTTGTGATTTCTTGTTGACTGAAATTATTCAGTCAGCTCGATTTGATGGACAAATGTATCGACGCGTTTGGACAATTACCGATAGACACAGCCTTAAAGAAGTTAAGGAAGCCGCAGATCACAAGATGGCATCCATGTATACAGATGTTAGTGAAAGTCGAGAGTTCCTGTCAAATATCAACGCAGACCAACTACTCAGCCTTCTCGATCGAGATGACTTTAATGTACCTTCGGAGACGTTCGTCTTCATATCAGTGATGCAGTGGATTAAACACAAGAAAGAGGAGAGGTTGCATCCAAAGTTATCGGAGCAGTTCGTTTGGGTCTGGTGTACGTCAAAGTCGTGATTGAAGAACTAGAAACCGAAGAAATGAAGCGAGATCCTGAGATCAACGAACATCTGCAAATAGCAATGAAGCGTCATTGCATGCCTCACAAATTTTCTGCAGAGGAAGTGAATCCGCGATCGATGAAAATGGTAAGATGGTAAATATCCCCTAAAAAGGAAGACCCTTTGAACTCAGGATCATTAACAGTGAAATTCAGTTTGTTTTGTGCTCCCTATTGTCAGCCAGTGTTACGATTTCCTTTCGCATAATTAAAGTATAATTCTACGTTGTGCTACTCATACGGAACCCGTAAGCCAACTTGAATTTGCTGTTTGAACGTGATTCGTCTGAGTATAAGTAGTGAAGCTATAATTCACTTACTTCGATTTCAATCAAAGCCCTACGAATTTTTATCTACCTTGTATCGAATTAGCAGTACTTTTGTGAATTAAAAATATTCTTAACGATAGTCACAAATACAAAGACCGCATGCCGACGACTTTTGATTTCTAGTAATTTCTAATCACATCAGATGGACACTTGATGGGTCTGTGTTACAGACGTTGAGTATAATTATTGAATATTGAGTGTGCTCGGCTACTTTATTTTTGGCCATCTTTTATTGAATCCATTTTTTGGCTTTCAGCAAAGTAACTAAATTACAAAGGATATCACAGGTTTTATCAGCCCCCTCTGTTGAAGGGTATTCATATTTCGATATGTTACGAAAACTCCGCCATTGCAAACGAAATGCTTCAGTCCTATAGGAGTAAAGTGTATGAAAAATAACCCCCTTCCCCCTTGTAACATATAGAATGAGGGAAGTCAGTCGTTGCCAACATACTATAAAGGGGGAACTAAGATTATTACAAAGCCTCAAGGGATCATGTAAATTTCATAGTGACACAATTATTCCTCCGAACCCCCCCCTCCTCCCCTTCCCCGAGGCGTTAAATCATAAGCGATGCGTTACCTCAAGAGATTATGTAATCTCTTTCTTACCAAGAAATGTTTTAAATTATTCTGTAGGTTCTTGTTGCATTTTGCCCATTTAAGAGGTCAAATCATTTCAGAACTGATCGAGGAGAGAGGTCTCACTACTTTGATGAGGAAAGTAAAGAATGGAAACCTTTAAAATCTGTGTCAATTGTAGGTGAAGTAGTTAAAAAGTGGTCTAGTGTGAAATATATCGGAAATTGTTTGTATTTAGCCTGCTCAGATGCTGATAAATCAGATATTTATCGTTATGACGTAATGAAAAATATTTGGGAAAAACTAACAAAGTCGAGTTTCCCCAAGATAATCCAATGTTTGTGTTGTGTTGGTGACTTTGTTTATGCAGTTAGTGAATCTAGTCCACCCGAGATTTACAGTTTGGCTGACAAAACCTGGCAACCGGGTGGGGACAATTTGCATTTATTTGCACAAAAAAAGTTAAAATCTGTAGCAGCAGTAGTAATGAACTCTAAGTTATATGTTATGCATGGGTTCCTTAAATTTTACCGATCCCAATCTTTTCCAAAACCTGCCTTAGTGCATTGCTTTGACCTAACAAAAAATAAATGGGAAAAAGTCGCCTCAACCTGTTATTCTCGCTTTGGATCCAGTCTTATTGTTGTCAATAACAGACTGTATGTGGTGGGGGGAAAATGGAGTTTCAAGGTGTGCCGTGCGGTAGAAATGCACCGGTAGAAGTTTTTAATGAGAAAAGGGGACCTCTATCTTGGTTTGGTAGAGGGAAAGTAAAACAACCACCGAACAGCTGGTCTGTTGTAGAACAGAAACATATCCCCGCCAACAATCTCGGTGCAGTGGAAATAGAAGGGAGGGTGTATTTCATCATCAACAAATTTCCAGTCGACAGTGGGATAAGAATTTAGCCAGAAGACACGCACCGGGTTAATCTTGATGAATGGAAAAACTTAACGACTTTAAGTAACCAGGCAGTCCTGTGTTATTTGCTTGTAAAAAATGAAGACTTAAAGTGAAAGAAGCTCGGAGCTATATTTATGGTCAAAATGAAGTTATTACTTAGTCAAAATTTAAGTGTCTGAATGGTTTGTTTTAAAAAAATATTTATCACAGCATAAAATGTCGAAAAAACGTTTTGTTTACGCCTTTCTTGGACCAAGGCAGTCACCTAGCAACAACATTTAATGCGTGGTTTAGACTGAGAAGGACTGGGAAGCACCCATTTTGTTTTTTGGATTTTTAAAATCAGGAAAGTTAGGAACCTGGATTCAATGTACTGATTTTTTTCTCGATTATTCACGTCAGATAATTTAGGTACCCGCACGTTAATAAAGACTCACGCTGTTTCACCTCTTTACTAATGATAGAGTTTTCTATATGCATAAATAAAACTGAAAATTGTTTTTTTGTTGTCTTTCGTATTTCGTAGTCATTAATTTGGAGCTAGACATTATTATGGAGGGTATCAATGGGTGACGGCTTTTACGGTTAAAATTATGGCCAATTTAAGGCTAAAGGTTAACATCTTTCCATTGCTGTCACCAGAAACATTTTTTTTTTACTGTTAACTTTTGTTACGACTAATGGTTAAAACTTGTCAATTTCTAAGCCTTACGGTTTTTTTTGGCCGTTTTACGGCCAACGGTTAACTCATTGAAACCCTCATTATATTGAGTGAGTATAGACACGGGGATGGGATGAAAAAGCATACGTCTTTTTTTTCTGCTAGAGATGTGTTTGTAAGTTTGTGTGTAGAAATTATTACTGAATTTGTTTACAGTTTCGTCCAGCATTAAAAGTGGCGCGGAGAATCCGTAATAAAAGTTGCAATTATCAGGGTTAGAGTTACATTAAGTGTGTTTATGGTCACTGAGCGATTTTTGGGCTACGAACTTAGAGATCGAACTTAGGAAAGTGAAACTTGGTGATATAACTGTACTGATCTTGATAAATGTGAGGCATCATAATCATGATCTTACTTGTTAGTTATATTGACTGAACTTGTTATTTTTACTTTTGAATGTACATATTATAATGCTCAATAAATTTGTTACTTTATCGCCTAGTGTTTTGTCTTTGACTCGCAAAGCATAACCACAGTAGGCAGATTAGTGCACCCGTTTCCTTGCGTTCAAATATTTTCCATTCTTAGGCACTGTTCTATTGCACGTGATTACGGGTTATTTACGCACACTGAAGCTTTGTCAATGTTAGGCATGTTATGGTTCGTGGGATTTTACTGAACCACTCAATCGACTACTGCAACCATTCGGTTGAGATCGCGTTTAAATGCAAGAGCAAATGAATACAGATTTCAGTAAGTTCTTTGAATCGATGCTTGCTTGATGCATATGCTTCTTACTTTTTGAAAGATTGAGATCGAGAGATACCAGTTGAACATTACTTCAAAAATCAAAATTAAATACTGACATGCATGATTTAGCAAATTCTTGTTTTGAACTAAGAGTTACAAAGCTCCGAGTTAATTCAAGATTCAAGTTATGCATGAGCTTGACTTTTTGCGGAATTGTCGCTGAAGGTCTATCGTTGTTAACTCGGGTTGTTATTATGCGATCATGAGAAACTGCAATGAACTTAACACCTGACGGAAAAAATTGAGGTGCGTGGCAAATGTAAATTTGTTTGTCTGTAAAGTGGTTAATAAATTCGTTGAAGGAGAAATCAATTAAAATTTAACGTTTTAAGTACCCAGAAGTTTTGAGACGTAGACGGCTGCCAAAGAATGGAATAAATTCTGGTGAGTCTTGAAAATCAACTGTGAAACTCATGTCTTAGCATCTCAGGCATAACGGTAAGGACACAAGATCTGTTGTAACTGCTAGGGAAAAGAACTCTAAACTTCCGGTTGCCTCCCGTGTTACTAAAATGTATTTTCTTAGGCGCACTAAGTTTAACACTGTACGGAGTGTATTGCGGTGGAAAAACAAAATTGTAATAATTGAACGAAATCAAGCGCCGGCGCTGCTTTTACCCTTTTCCTACTAGGTATTTAAAAAAGCTGAGCTCAAATGATCTCAAACTCCTTACCTCTTTTTATCTATCTTTCCAACCCTCTCCGTGGCAATTTGCAAATGCTGCCTAACTCAAGTTTCATAATTGATCTCTGGTCACGCGATCAAGCGAGTGACGGGAGTCGTGCGAATTCAACTGTCTCTCGTCCTAAAATGGCTGCATCCTCTGAGATTTTACTTTTAAAATGCGCTAAGTTTAGGGATGAGGGTCAATTCATCGACGTTCGATTAAAAGTCAACGACGAAGTTTTTACAGCTCATCGAATCGTGCTGGCTGCGAGTAGCGATTATTTCTACGCCATGTTTACGAACGGAATGAAGGAGTCCAACCAAGAAATGATCGAATTGAAGGACGAAAGCATCACGTCAAATGCTCTAAAGATCATCTTAGACTCCATCTACACTGAAGATCTCCATGTCACCGAGGAAAACGTGTTCGATGTACTCGCTGCAGCATTTCACCTTCAAGTGACGAGTGTTGTACAACAATGTAGCGATTTCCTGATGAAGGAATTTGTTCAGCTCCGACTGGACTTGCAGAATTACCGTCTGCTCTGCACAGTTGCCGACAGACACGGTATGAAAGATCTGCGAGAGACGGCCGAGAGCAAGATGGCATTAAAGTTTAAGGATATCTGTGAAAGCGAAGAATTTTTGTCCATCATACAACCCGACCAGTTAGTCAACCTTCTCAGCCGAGATGACCTCAGCGCACCGTCTGAGACATTCGTCTTCAAATCAGTGATGCAGTGGATTAAACACAAGAAGGAGGAGAGGATGGCAGTTGCGGCCAAAGTTATTGGGGCTGTTCGTTTGGGTCTGGTGGACATCAGAGTTGTGATTGAAGAACTGGATACAGAAGAGATGCAGAGAAATCCTGAGATCCACAGGCAGCTACATGAGACGTCCTTGTATAACAACATGCCTTCTCGCAATTCGAAGTTTGCAGAGGAAAGAACTAAACCGAGATCAGCAAGCCAGGTCAGTAGAAGCACCGGTTAATATTTGTGATCCATCACAAATATTAGCATTTTTATGCTAGAATAGAACATTATTATAATCAATTAACTTAGTGGACGAATTTGCTGAGTTCTGTCGATATAACCTCTTTCCTTTCACGTTCAAAAAAACGGTTGTTTACAAATTTACTTTATTTTCTTATTTCAGGCTCTGATTGCAGTTCTGCCTCGAACTCAAATGAAATATTTTGATTTCGAAAACAAAACATGGAAAACTTTACCAGCATCAATACCGTCAATTAAATCAACTCGTTGCCATTCTGCAGTCTCTGTTGGGAACACCCTATTTGTTACTGGAGAAACACCAGATGGTAACAATTCCCTTTTTCGCTACGACACTGAGAGTAATGCATGGGATATGAAGCAACATTCGTGCGGTGGATCAATTGACAATTTATGTATCATGGATGACTATGTATATGTCATTAGCTCTAATTCATGTCAGGTTCCTCAAAGATACAACATGGCTAAAAGGTTATGGCAAAGTATTTCTAATGTAGGTAAACCGAGCTGTTTCCTTTTAGCCTGCAATAATGGGGTTATAGTTCACGCAAAAGTGTTTGTTCTTTATAGTAACATGTTCGATCACAATGGATACAATCAACCAGCAGTACTTCAATGTTTCGACCCAACTAAAAATGAATGGAGTGAAAAGGCCAAAACCTGCCATCCTCATTTTGGATCCACTCTTTTTTTAGTGAATGACAAACTTTTTATAGCTGGGGGTCGTATGGGATTTAACAATTTTCCATGTGGCAGCCCCGCGCCTGTGGAAGTGTATAACGAAGACGCCAACACTTGGTCTGTTGTTGAGCAAAAACGTATTCCTGTCAACAATCTAAATGCAGTGGAAATAGAAGGGAGGGTATATTTTATCATCAACAAATTTCCAGTTGACAGTGGGATTAGAATTCCACTAGGGGAGTTGTATCCTGTTCCGCTGGGTGAGTGGGAAGATTTAGGAAAAATTGAACAATCTGCAGTTCTTTGCCATTTGCCTCTGAAGAGAGAATGTATAAAAACTGAATGACCTCATTCGCCTTTCTTATTTCAAAGGAGCCAAGAGATAAGGAACTGTGAAAGGGTAAATAAACAGCTGCTGTAACCTTCTAAGCATGCCCAGAAAACTAGTTGGTTGGTATTGCTTGTACTTTAGCGATCTAACTTGAAAACAGTGTCTATCATGTTTACTGAGAAGTGAGAGTGAATCTTAAAACGTTCAGTACAGTCCATTTAAATTGTAAGAAGTAATAACCATACAAAAACTATGAAGGTGTAAAATAAACGCCGAATTCGTAAATTGTAGAAGTCGCAGAACGTTTTAGGAAGTTCGTATATACTAAATTGAAGGAAGTTATAATCTATGAGTTCGTTCTTAGTTTCCTGGGAGTGTCAGCTGCAAATGTGTATGTATCGGTTGATTTCAATTCGATGTAGGGTAGAGTAGGTGATAATAATAGACTTATATAAAACCTTGAATATTGTATCCAACCTTTCAGAACCCTTTGTAGGTCTTTTTACCTTACATAAAATTTTGATTTTTTTTTCTTTCGAATAGACTTCTTTAAAGGATGTAATAAAAATTGCACAAAAGTTAATTTTAATTTGTTCTCGAACCTACGAAGACGCGGAGTTTTTCTTTGATAGAGTTCTCTAAATAATTTCTACGTCTGTGCAATTAGACTTACACCATAGATGCGTCTCAGTGTCAGTCTCGCATTTCTAAACGTATTGTGATTTATTCAAAGTCTGCCTATATCGTGAATATGCGCCGTAAATGAAAAGTGATCGTAGCTTGGTAAACAACAGCGACGAATGCTTGAGTGATTAAAAAGAGAATTTGAGTTGCATGCGTGATCGATCACGCAGGGAGCTAAGCTGATACAGTTCCTTAAAATACGACAGGAACCCCAAGAATCTTGAGGTATTAAAAAGTTACTATAAGGGACAAGAGAGGATTCTGATTCTCTCTTGCCGTGGTCGGCTGTCTGATGTCTGATCAGAAGCGTAGAATTTTTAAGTGTCATATAGTTGTCCTTCAAGACTTGCTAGAAACGCGTAAAATAATTTCAATTTCTCTACTAAACCACGATAACTGATATCAATCGGATTTTTCCTTTGATTTAGTCCTCCAAAGGATTTCTATTTTGATGGTTCATCGCCTCTTAGTCTCCAATGTCCTTGCGAACTGTGATTTATATGAACAGAATAGCTTGCTGAGGTTGTCCATTTTCGTTAATTAACCCTTCCTTTCACTCCCAATATCTTATTAGTAACTATCCTTACTGTCTCCCTAAGAATTCTTACCACATTAGAATTTGGTATTGGATCAACTGCTAATCCTTTAATTTATATTTCTCTTTATTCTCATCACTTGTCTGCTTGAAATTGTATCAACATTTTTAAGGGAAATTCTGTCTTGGTCACTCATGGGGTAATCAACCAAAAAGGCTTGTGTGGCACATGTAACTGATTACGCAGACTAAGTTAATTAGTCTGAGCTTAATCGGTTTTCAAAAATACGAAAAGGGCCTCAAGAATTTTAACTGATATTTTCCATATGAAGTAAGAGAAGATCAGTTCTCGGCATTAATAGAGACGTTTACACAAGGTCGTAACGTGGGCTTAGCTAATAACCTGCTCATCTTGCCGAAGAAATTTTTAAAAGACCTTCAACAGCCCATAGATCGCCCAAGGAGCCTTAAGTATAGATATATGGTAATTTTCTTAGACACGAATGATTTGTTGTTGATAAACAGTTTCTATCCAATTTCGAAACGTCATTGCCTACCCTGCTGTTTCTTCATGAAGATTACTTCATGAGCAAATTTTCAACGATATTTTCTTTTCGAAAATATCATTAAATCTGTTTATAATACTTTATAATATGCATTGCTGAATGATTTTGTATTGCATGCGTGAATGCTTCTTTCTCTGCCATTAGATTGGAAGGAGGATGTGGTTACCAAGGTAACGAGATGACGTTGGCGTGTAGCGGTCACGCGATCCCCTAAACACCGTATTGCCTTAAGGCACTGTCGGATTTGTTGTTGATATTGAAGTACAGTGAGATCATTTCCTTCAGCAAAATGGTTGCCCATGCCAACATTCTTCTGTCGAAATGTGCTCAGTTTCGTAACGAAAGTCAATTCATCGACGTTCGATTAAAAGTTGGTGAAGACATCTTTCCAGCTCATCGCATCGTGCTGGCTGCGAATAGCGATTATTTCTACGCCATGTTTACTGATGGAATGAAGGAGTCTAACCAAGAAGTCATCGAGTTAAAGGATGAAAGCATTTCACCTGATGTCTTTAAGATCATATTGAACTCCATCTACACTGGAGATCTTCTTGTAAACGAGGAAAACGTGTCCAAGGTTCTTGCTGCTGCAGATCATCTTCAAGTTGCGAGTGCTGTTCATCAATGTTGTAATTTCCTACTGACCGAGTTCGTCAAGATTCGCTTCGACTTTGAAACTTACTGTCGCATCTGGGAAATCGCGTTGAGCTATGGGCTGAAAGATCTGCAAGACGCTGCAGAGTGTAACGTAGCTAAGATGTACACAGATGTTTGTGAGAGCAAGGAATTTTTGACGCACATCGGTGGAAACCAGTTAACCAGCCTTCTCAGCAGAGATGACCTCAATGCACCTTCTGAGACGTTCATCCTCAAATCTGTGATGCAATGGATTAACTACAAAAAGGAAGAGAGGATGGCAGTCGCAGCCAAAGTTATCGGAGCTGTTCGTCTGGGGCTGGTGGACATCACGGTTGCGCTCGACGACCTGAATACGGAGGAGATGCAGCAAGTGCCTGATATTCACAAACAAGTCTATGAGGCAGCAGTTTATAAACACAAGCCATCTCATAAACCCAAGTCTTTTGGGGACCAAACGAAGCCACGATCAAAAAGCCCGGTAAGTGACTTAAAAAAAAATTAAGCGGTATTTTTCAAAGGCAAAAGTTTCCATAGCTAAGATTTTTATGTACAGTAATGTTTTGAGAGGGTGGAGCTGTGTAGCTTAATCGTTTTTAGTCTTTTTTCTCAGGTATCACATTCCGGTAATTGTATTTCAGGTTCTTGTTGCTGTTTCGCCTCGCTCAATTTTGCAGTTTTTTGATGTCGGAACTAAGACTTGGAAGCCGTCGCCAGTCTTTACACCAGCTACTCTGGCGACCCATTGTTACTCTGCGGTGTCTGCTGCCGATAAGTTAATGGTTGCCGCAAATGACTCCCTTGGTCACTGCCTTTATCGCTATGACCCGGAGACAAATGTGTGGGAGAGGCTTCCTCATTCATGTGGTGAAATAAAACATCTTTGTGTTACAGCAGAGCACCTGTACGCATTTCCCGCTAACTGCAAACAGCATTCTCAAAAGTACAATTTCGCTCAACGTAAGTGGGAACACTTTCGAAGAGTAGAAATAACTTTCAATGCTAAGAGTTTGTTTTTCTATAGTGGTATAGCAGTATTAAACAACAAAGTTTATGTCCTCTATGTAGAGAAAAGTCAAACGATCATGAATCAAGCCGTATTACACTGTTTTGATCCACCAAAAGACCAATGGGAGAAAAAAGCAAACACTTCCCAATTCCACTTTGGATCCAGTCTTCTAGTAGTAAACGGTAAACTTTACGTTGCCGGGGGCAACGTTTCTTGCGACCACGCCCATCGTCCATATGGTAATCCTGCCCCTGTAGAAATGTATAACGAAGAAACCAACGCTTGGACTGTTGTTGAACACAAAAATGTTCTCGCCTTCAGCAGTCTTGGTGCAGTGGAAATAGAAGGGAGGGTGTATTTTATCATCAACCAATTTCCTTATGACAGTGGAATCAGACTCACTCACGGGGAGCTTAATCATACAGTTCTGCAAGAGTGGGAAAATTTGGCAAAAATTGACCAAGGTGCAGTTCTTAGTTATTTGGCTGTCAAGAGGTTTTAAGGAGTGAGAAGAATGAGTCGTGTTAAGAGTGCTAGTGTTTTTTTGTTTATTTGAAGCAAAACTGGTGAATATTTGTCGGATTTCGTAACTAGGCTGAAACTGTATTGAGGTTTTTTTATGTGATATAAAATAATTCAACTTTTTTTCTAAAATTTCTCCTGATCATAAACAAATTTCAATAACTCCGAAGTATTTGTAGGATGTTTTGTACGAGGCACATGGTATGGCAGATTACAAGCATTAAAATCTATAATATATTCATCTTAAAGCTACTCGCGACACGATAGTTTAGAGCAAGTATAAATTTCGACGCAAACTTGACGGCCTGTATTTGAATATTTTTGTAATATTTTGTTTGGCAAGCAAACAAGTGACAGACAGAATTGTTCAACCGTAAGCTGAGGAGGGGTAAGGGGGAAAGTTGACAGAGGGGAGGGGGGAGAGGGGTCTTTTACCAACATCTAATGGGGATCTTGGGAGCACGGTGTAACAAAATGTTTCATTTTTTCAAATGTCCTTTCTAAATTGTGCGAACGAATTTTTACGGGGACACAGATATGCAAATGAATGACTCACTAAGGTGTAGGCACTGCCGTAATTAGTCGTCTCGTACTTACCCGAGCACGAAACCATATTGGAGTAGTAACCGCGTATAAAACGATAGTGAGGCTTTGTTACAGTTGTTACCAAGCATCGTTGCTTTAAAAATCACCTTCCAAGTGAGCAAACATTTATCGAGTTCAGGCACAAATCTAATACTGTCAATTGCTTCGATTGTTTATGATCTGATGTAAAACAAGAATCGTAAACATTGGCGGCTGAACCGATCAGAAGGGGACGAAAATAATCGCGTGCTTTTCTGACTTAAGAAAACTTGCGGAAATCATCGTGGTGCTCTCCATGATTTTCCGCTAGCTTGGCTTTTTAGATAAGAGCAATCTTACATTGGACAATTATTATAAATTCACAACCATGTTTCTCTAGATTAAGTACTTTATCCACGAGTTGGTCATCGATATCGTTTGATTTTTTAAATTTATGAATGGAGTAGGTCATGCGCATTCCAGGGATATCAGTCCCTAGCTATGTCTTTAGTAAGAAATTAATTCTTAATAAAGTGTACTCTACTTCAATTTTATTCCATAAGTTGATACTAAGAAAGAAAATAACTACTGATAATTTGCAAGTCTATTTCAGGCTTTCTGTACAATACATTACTGTTGCTCAATAAATGTGAATGGAAAAAAAAAGTCAATTTCGTTTCCATCCTTCTAAAAGCTACCCTAGAGACTGAATACCCCAGCACTTTATGATCTCTTTTTACCATGGTTCCGAAAATCACTTTTAGAGGTACAAAGTTTGGCCTAGATGCGTACACCTATCATTTCCAAGTAATTGTTCATTCACAAGCCTCCCCTGTACAACAATCCAGAAATGCGGTAAGAGCAAAAGCTTACTTGGATAACAAAAAAGACAAAATGAAGAAACATCACCCAAAAGCATTAAATTCAGCAAGCCCAATTGAAAAAGGTCCTACAGCATGTTTCATTTCTCCCTCACGGAGGGAATAGTTTGCTCGCTAAACTCTTTACACAAGTTAAGCAAAAGATAACAAGCGAAGATTGGAATAGGCGTTTCCTTAGTTTCCATATCGGTACTATTACTCTAAAATAGGAAATGACTGAGTTTTCAGGGTGAGAAATCAGTCTGGAATATCTCCAGTAAAGATTCAGCAGTTTTGTCCAGAGGGTAAACGGCTTATTTTCTCTCTCAGTGACTCGATTATTTGAGGTATGAAGTCTTAAGAGCTCATGTTACAACAACATCATCACCATCCGAGCATCAGGATGGAGTTTTCCCTTCTCTATCACTCCCTTGATGGAGTAGGGAAAAAGATTAGATGGCAGCAAATAATGACAAACAAGAGAGTAGTTGAAATGGTAGAGAGATCAATAAAATGGGCTGCAAGGTGCGAAAAAGAACTTGGAACTGGTTAGGACACGTACTCAGGAGAGAGGGTGTGAACGACTGTTTTACGGCATTGGGGTGGACACCAGAAGGTCGAAGGGCGAGAGGGAGACCAAAAACCACTTGGAGAAGGACTGTTGAAGGAGAGGGAGGCAAGGCCGGGTAGAAGAGCTGGAATGTGGCCAAGGCGGCGGCACGCGACAGGGGGATTGGGTGGACAATGTGACTACCTTATGCGCCTACTGGCGCAACAAGCGATCATGATGATGATGATAATGATTACTTCCTTGGAGAATGATACGAGCCTCTTGATGCACGTGGTGGTGCACCCATATTCCTTATGTGGGGTGCCTGAACAACTGCCCCGGGGAACCTTGAAGCCGCCGCCGGACGGAACTGAGACTGCAGTGCCATTGCATGAGCACCGAAGGGGACGGCGGGATGTGGGTGGACAGCCATAGGCTGGGCTGCCATCACTTGGGGACGAGGATACGGTGCAGCGATGGTGTGTCGGGAGTGCGCTGAAGGAATGGGAACAGGTATTGGCATGGAGGGGGTGTGGGTAGCGTACACCTGTTGCATTGCAGTGTACTGTGCACCTTGCCACTGACCAGTGGTGGGGTGGGGATCGGCTTGGGCGGGTCCAGAGGGCTTGCCACGTCTACTCGTGTTGTTTGTCGATCGTGGAGTTCGTCCAGTCCCACCAGCTTGGTCAGCGTCCCATAGTTTGCAGAGTTCTTCGCCAATTTTAGGTTCCAGCTCCTGCAAAAGATGTGTATGTCTGTGATTCTTAGAATTTCAATTCTTGATTAAGTCCAGCACCATTCGGCCATACGCTATCAATTTAGACTTAAATTGAATGCACAGGGTGACAGAAGCCCATCTCCCGATGAGTTTATCTTCCCAACGGCGTTTTCACAGGCTTCGATTGTTCATGATTCTAATGTTGTTCGCATGATATAAAAATGCTTTGAAAAGAATAAAGGGCACCTTTAAAATTTTTAAAATGTTATTCTGGAGATAAAGGACCATTTGGTTTTCCAACCCTGTGCGCGAGAGGAAGCTGTAATCTTGTCTTATCTCTCATCAAAGAGAGTAACCTCTACATAGGTGCACTGTAGTGACTCGCATTTACCTGTCCATCGCGACTAATCTGAACCTTCTTGTGATCATTCCAAGGGTTAACTAGGTGGTGAGCTTGTTGGAATGGAATACTGGCTCTATGGAATAATAGGAAAACAGAATTCGGTTACACCTGATAGAAGGATAAAAATCATGATGAGGATATGATAAGATAAAATTCAGAGTGGGTCTTCTAACTCACAAAACTGTAAACCCTGATGCACTTTGTCCTGACTAAGACTTAACAAGTTACAGATGTGGAGTAAAATGAAGAAAACAGCAAATACGTTATAACAAGTACATGTGCAGCACATACTTTTTTATCCATTCGACACTAAAAACACCGCTTAGTGAACTTGAACCAAACTCCGGAGACTTGTCTTTGCCAATGGGTGACGTCATCTGTGCATAGCCTGAAACAAAAGAGGAACATGAACCTGGTCAGAATGGTAAGAACTTTATTTTTGGCTGAATAAGAATTCTTGGAGATTAGTTCTTAAATAAACCAAGAGACGATGATACTTAGAGGCTAAACTCTTCATTTGAGACGCTTCACTGCAAATGATGACCTATCTCAAGTTACTTTTAGACTCAAGGCAGCTTGTCTCCCAAGAATGACATGACATGTTCTTCGCGAGTATCTAAAAGATGGATCCTCTCTTGAACAAACCAATTACCTTGAAAGTGTCCACTTCCTTGCACTGAGAAGACCAGCATAACATGCTTAGATTCCTACAAACAAAATCACTTTAGTATGGACACTGCCTACGAAAAACCATCAACTAATTTGCTTCAGTTCCTTTTTGATCTTGTCCACTCAAAAGGATCCTAGAATATTTTTCCAATTAACAAATATTAAATCAATTTATTGCAGCTTAGACTTTTCTCCGTCCTCCATAGTCATTATAACAAACCTTGAAGGCTTTGTTCAGCTTTTTTTCATTGGCTAGTGTTGTTGCCCAAATGCCCTGTAAAGACAATGAAATACCTCTGTAACATCTACATAACACTGTATTTTATAAAACCACAGACATGCAATCTTTGTGTACTTATTGTATAAATAAAATTTTTTTTAAAATCAAACGTCAGCAGTTACCTTGGCCATCGATATATCCAAATTTCTCTGATTGTTGCATTTCATGATAAAGTACCGAGCTGAAAAAAAGAGAAAGGCTTTTGTTGTATATCATCTGTGAGTAGAGTTTAGAGTGTTTTATTGAAGTCTCGATTCTTGAATTGACTGTGAGTTTTTTCACACTTAGTCTCTGTCTACTGCGGTTTACATTCCCTGTTTTTATTTTGTTTGTTCACTTTGCGCTTTATTTTGCAGGTGGCTCAAATGAGAAACTTAAAAAAGAATCAAAAACCGGAATGTGCTGCTACACCTATTCACTCATTTCATTGTTTCATTTTAATCATTCATTATTCAAACTAATGATGCTCACCTTCACTCAATTTCTCAAGCTGTTGAGGAGACCTTGGGGACCAACCATCACCAGAAACTTTGTTCCCATTCTGTTTACATTTGAAAAAGAAAGTTAATACTGATAAGATATTCATACCATTTCGAACACACAAGATTTTTAGTCATAGTTACAAACATTAGCACTAAGTAAGTTTGATCATTAAATTTCAAAACTAAAAATAACATTAACGTCGCCAAAGTTACCAGAGAGGATGACTGTATTTCACTTTTCACTTGTGAACTTGATCCTGGAGGAAAAAAAATTGCAACATGAATTCTAAAGATTTTTTTGACATTGGGGTCAGAGATCTACTTATTCTGAAGACGTCTTAATCACGTTGGACATCCCTATGAGAACAACACTTCATAAACTCTAAATTATTTCACTGACTTTAACAACAGCTCACCAGAGAATTCTCGTGTACGATCTCTGGATGGAGAGAACTGCTCACCCGAGCGAGACCTGCAGATGGAAAGAAGTTATGATTATCTATTTGTGGCCATGCACATTGAAACTTAAGCTTTTTTAGGCATCGTTATGAACACAACTCCAAAGCTCGCACCATAAAATACTTTGTTTTTTTAATGAAATTTATCATGTTGCAATTTTAAGACATGAGTGTTATGATTCAACTATAAGGAGATAATTCACAGTATACCTTGGAGATCTCGAGTCGGGTCCACTTTCAAATCCTGAAAAGAAATTCACCCTCAAGTTAGATTCAAAATGTGACATTAGGAGCTGCACAGGGATTTACGGCTTGCAAAATGATCAAATTGCTTATAGTGAATTCTAGAAATTGAAAAATATAGAAATAATAATAACAATATCATAGATATATTAAAGACATTTAAGAAAAGTAGGGCTCAGGATAATTGAGTTAAATCAAACATTTCAAGCGCTTTGTTTGTGTAAATATAAACAAGTGATCAAAACGACCAATCAAAACAAGCGTAAAAAGCAAGGGAAACCAATGAGAACCCAAAGAAGATCAGACCGCACAACCAGTAAAAAAGCGCGGGAAAACACCAATAGCGAAGTCGCAGTTGATTCCACGTTTGCTTTTTTAGGGTTGATAGACTGACACAAGTTTCGCAGCTTAACATAGAGCACACTAGAAAAAAATCCACATACAATCTCGAATCACTTACGACACTCAACTGTAACGACATTTATTTCTTTATCAGATTTCTTTTTCAGAGTAAGTTCAGTCACCTGGTCGTGTTCGTCTTTGACGAGGATGCGGTGTTGGATTCATGGCTTGTTCTTCAGCTGTCAAAACTGCTGCTACGGCACGGACAACCATCTTTGTACCAAACAAACAAACAAACAAACACAAAAACAAAATAGAAATAAAAATTAAACATTGGTGCAAACTTTAATAACCAACTTTTAAGTAAAGACGACTATTTGGCGTATGGTTAGTAAATAAAGCTTCCACGAGCCGACAGTACTTGCAGAACGTTCCTCCATAAAATGTAAGCAAACACAAGCCTAGCTAACTGTGGTTTCGTATCATACCTCGTCCACTTGTGACCACGGTCTGGAAGGAGAACGAATTCTTCGAACAAACAAAGCTTGTAACTTGTGATGCAGATATGACACGTGGTTAACAACCTGAACGACAAAAGTAGCGCAAAATGAGAAAGTACTGAACGTTCTCAAGGTAATACAAGCGGTATAACAAGAGGAAGTGAAGTTTATAGATGAAAATCCAATTTCATTGCGATAGAGGACAAGTATTAGCAGCATTGTAAAAATGGTGTTCTCTCCAAATTCTAACCACGCAAATGACAGAGAATGTCGACAAAAACATTCCTTCTCGGTTTGCAATTGAACATAAAATCATATGAATTCTAAATGACTACATTGAAGTTTGCTAACGTTAGAGGCATTTTTGACCATGGGCAGTATGAATTCCTTCCATTTTTTGGGTTATTCTTGATGTGCTTGTACAAGGTAAGCTTAAAAGAAGTAGAAGTAGAAGTTTTTGAGGGTCACAACAACTACCTCTTGACTCGCAGACAGCGCGATCCACTCATCCACGTTAAACAGAGCACCATTCTTTTCTTTCTTTCCTGATGTTTCATCTGTTTCGCTATCACTGCTTTCACTCTCTCGTCCTAGTCCATCTCCAAGGTACCTCTCACTGTCACGAGTAGCAGAGGGGTCCTGGGTAACACGCTCGGAAGACAGGCTTGGTCCAGTGAAGAGTGCTATTGTTACAGGGGACAGCAGTGTACAGCATTTAACTGTCACTGTTGTGTACAACCTGGAAAAGGATAGACAGTAAATGACACGTGTTCAGAGGCGAATTAGTAGAAGTAGAGGCTTTTGGTAAACTTGTTTCTTTTGCAGAGCCTAATTGCAGAATTGAAAAATAACATTGTCGACTCTCAAATTTTTAAAAAAATTTTTTTGAAGAAGTTTTACAGCTATTTAACATGATTTGAGTCCATTTATCTGAGCTCATGTCAGCATGCAGCAAACGTGAACCACTGCTAGGAACCACCAGTTAGGTGGCACTGAAAGATTAGCTTGAGATAAAATGAAACAAACAAACAAACAAACCTCGACATTTCCTCGTAAATAAGCCAATCGGAGGGAAGTCTGTTGATGGCCTTTGTTTGAGCAGCGGACATGGAGTCTCCTTGTGTTGGAGACTGGTACAATATGGAGGAATTGTGGAACCGAACCTTACTCTCTTTCCTGCAGCATTAAGAACACAGCTTTATAAAAAAAATGTTAGCTGAAATCGCTAAGGACGGGGCGAAGAAACACTTCTAACTAACAAAGGCTACAAAATAAAGCAAACATTAGCACAATGTAAGTCTAGCAGTATTTACTCTTACTGTGTTGTAAGTTTTTTCGCACTTCTATCCACACGAGCCACCTGTGGAAATGTTCCAGCACAGAGAGCCGCCTGTCAACGAAGGAAAGTTTAATTTTACCAGTTTTAAATAATGGTATGCAGAAAGGATAAGGGCATTACACTGGAAACCAAACTAAGAATAGTATCTGTTCATTTTAAGACTCAAAATGGTAGAGTTCTTTGGATTACAGCAGGTAGGTATGAGCAATGGCTAGTGTGTTCGAACAGTTCTTTGAAGAAGAAAACAGCAACCAAGAAGGAGAAAAAGAACAGTTATGGTGGGTAGTCATGACCTTGCCCATGACGACAAACATTACAATAAAAAGCGACAGTGAAAATGATGAAAACGATGACAGTTAACCAAACAGAGACAACGACAGCAACGAAGGATATGCGAAGATTATTTCTTCATCGCAATTGCACCTTTATTCAGAAGAAACATACCTTGACAACAGCCCAGTTGTTTGAGTTGGAATTCAAGTCCCTGATGTCTCCTGCTCCGCGGGGGCGAATGAAACCGGCAAATTTCAATTGTCCAAGAATTTGTGCTCTAAAATGACAACAGGTAAATCAGAAACATGACGGGGATCGCACCACCCCTTCAATCATTTAACCAGTACCTTCATGTAAAAAGCACGTTAAGGTCCAAGGTTACCTTGCAAGGGAATAACTTCTTGAGATTTTCAAATCTAAATTACAAACCGGCCTTTTGAAAGCTTTACCTCATACCGGCCATCATTTCTAAGGTAGCTTGAGACAAGTAGTTCCTCCGACAGAAGTTCCTGTCGTAACCTTCAGATCGTGCACGTTGCCAGCCCTAAGGAACAAAAGATCCAAACGGCATGTAACAATGGCATGGGTACATAAAGCACTAATGAGGGATCCAACACTGAAAAATTCACAAGTTGGGTTTGCTCTATAGTTCCTTGGAGAATCTTGCTTAATTTGAGCCATCATAGAGTAGAGGTGGTGAGTGTTCTTCTATCATTCTTGCTTCGAATAAGTCTGAATAATTTCGTAATTCTTCGATTCAAAGATCACCTTTGATTGTAAAAGATATGCTATTGTATCTGTCAGAAATATATCCTAATGTTTCTCTTTTTCATTATTGCAACGTACCAACCGTGCATCACAAGTAGTAATCAACTCACTCTGAACACTTGCACGAACACCAGGTGATCGCTGAAAGGATCCAAGATGAATCTTTTTCTAGCGGCAGCTGCAGCTCGCTTCTCGGCCGCGTACATTGGAAGGATAACTGAAAAAAAACACAGAGCAAGTATGAGGCTTTTAAAAAGTTTCAGACACCAAAAGTTTACCTTGGTATATACTGTATTTGAGTTCCAAAGTGAGTGGTAAATTCCATCTGAACAAGACGAACTGAAAACCCTTATCCCGTCAAAGGGGAAGGTAGTATCTGTCGGTAAGGAGTCCCACACAAGCACCGCACTGCCACAGAGGAGCATGTCAGAAAGTTTTGCTATCATCTTTTTTGACAAAGACGAAAAGTACAATCGTATAAAAGTTCTTTCACCACGATGACTGACTGATTAACTATCAATAGGCCTGACATTTACTTAAAATCACTTGTTTGTTCCTTGAGAACAAAGATAGCAAGTCGGTTTAACGATTCACCGTGATTCTTAAATTATAGGTCTGCTTTGTAGGCTCAGAGAATTTCCTCTGCTTCTTTTTTGTAATTTTCCTTTACTTACAAGGATCCCTGTAGGCCAGAGCACAAGCGATGGTCACCACTGGATCTACACACTTCAGTACAACTGAATATAGGATCATCTTCCCCAGCTGTGGACTAAGGGGTAAGTCGGCAAGATGACGACCTAGGAGAGGTGGCACAGAATCACACAGTAATTATAAAAAACTGCATGGCCATTACACCGAATCGTATAGTTATTCCACAAAAACGGTACTACAAAGATCGGCATAATTGCAAGAATGAAACGTTTCTTATGCTTGATAAGTAGCTTTTCAGTTATCACACTGTAACAACGAGTCATGAAAGACTCAGGTTATGGTAAAAGATCGTCGGATAAGTTTTGGGCAGGAGAAAAGAAAACCACTGTTAAATTAACATATAAAAGCAGGATTTCTGGCTAGTGAATTTTTATTTGAGTGGGAAGCAATCCGACAATGCTTTGTCTTCACTAAGGTCTTTGAGTGGTCCAATCCCTCAACCAATCAAATGCAAACTTAAGTCAAAAGTGACTTGGTCACGCGCGTTGCCCGCGCTTCAGGCAGTTTGCCTGATTTTTCTTTGAGTTCTCCTTTTACAAAGTTTTGTCAAATAAAGTAATGCATTTACCAAGGTCAGTCAGGTCTTCCCATTGGTCCAAAGCGTCTATAGTCTGGACCAAAAATAAATCAAATCAAATCACAAGATCAGCCACAGTTACTTATGCAAGAGCAGAAGCAGTGAAGAAAAAAGTGGAAAGAAAAGTAACAGACGCGGACAAAAACTTTACAGTAAGTACACCATATGCATGTACTTCTCTGAAGTGAAATTAAGATCCAATGGGTCAAACATAAGAAAAAACGTTTGGTAATCTAAAAGTATATGGTGTACACAAAATCAGTGAAGGAAATGCGACGAATAGTGTTAACAGAATTAACTAAGACGGTTTGGCAACAATACTACTGGGGTCAACACCAACCTTAAGAAGGGCAACAGCATTTCGAAGAATCAAAAGCGGAGGAGCCTCGGGAGCTTTGGACAAGAAATCACTTATTGACGTGTTTGGTGATGCTAAAAGTTTTGTGTGAAGACATAATTCCTACAAAACAAGAACAACAGTAATACAGTTGAAGCTTCACCTAACACTGCTTCTCTTCGTTAGCTATACGCATCGTAACCGAGTTGTGAAGGACTTAGGTTAAACAGGTGTCACATTTTGCCCCAACCCCCTCTCCCCTCCGTAAGAGTCACCTCTCTCAAAAACAGTTTCTTTTGTCTGTCTCCAAAGCGACATCTGTGAAGACGATCGACTAGATTAAGTTAAATAAAATCTTAATTTACGTGTGAGTTCTTTTATTGCAAAAAGGTCAGGTTAATAAAATTGATACTCTCTGAATCCTACCTGCAGAGGAATTCGTAATAATTCGGGGATCTGGTATTCCAAGAAGCTATCATGTCGAACTCGGCTGAATAAGTGGTAACAAACGCCAGGGGAACATCTCCCAGCCCTGAGAAGGAAAGAGAGTCAGAAGATGTAAGTTTGGTTTTATGTATTATTCAACAACAAAAAGTTTGAAGAGAAAGATGTTTTTCGTCTTGTCACCCGTGAGGGACGAAGTGAGTTCCTCTTTGTCCCTCGCTCGTGACAAGACAAAATTATCTTTCTCTATTTCTATACCAAGCTCAAAACTTGCCGTCTCTCTTATTCTATAAAAAGTTTGGAAATTTATAAAACAAACTCAAAATGTTTCAATTTGCTGATGTAATAAACAAAAGGTTTTTGACCAATCAGGGCCCTCGTGTTATCTCGGTTACTTTATAAAAACAAATAGATCACCTTCCCTTCCTCTGAATTGCGCTTGCTTTGGACACCCATACAGATTGAAGTGAAGACACTGACGTCAGTGCATCAAAGGCTTTCTATAGATTAAAAAAGGTTGATAAATATTTCTTATCTTCTAAATTAAACCTATATCACAGTTAGCATAGATAGCTACATTAACAGTGTAAACCAAAATAATCATCCTTATGCCACAAGCCAAAGAAGTAGATGTTCAGTTGAAACCGTTCAGGACACCGAGAAGAGCATTATCAATGGTGCATGGATATGCAGCGTGCCAAAGGGAAGGTTATTTATTTTTTGAATTGCTTTGGTTGCCCCACAAGGAGAAGTAATTAGTTACCAACCTCTTTCACCTTTCCACTGTCAATCACAAACACAACATCATCAATAGTGACACTAGTCTCTGCTATATTTGTTGAAAGGATCTGTGTGAAAACAAAAGCACATGTCAAGGGTATACCATAATTGTCGAATACTTGTTCAATACCCAGAGACATCACTAATAAAATCAAAGGTATACATGATTATGTGTAAACGTACAATGTAGCCAATTGCAAGTCATACTATTGTTGTTACCTTGCTGAGGATAAACTAGCATGAACATTTCAACTTATTAACAACTTACAATTTTTCTGATTGATTGGTGTAGTTTTCTGAAAACCTTGAATAAACAAAAGAATATGACTTAGTCATGTGCCATAGAGACATCCTAAGCTTATCAAGGACTCTTGCAAAATTTAAACAAGAAGAGAGTACTCTTCGTCACTCACCTTTCTTTGCTCTGTAGCTTGCATGGAAGAATGTAGGGTAAAAATCTGATACCTAGGAAAAAGAGGAAAAAAATACTATGGGCATGAATCTGAGGCACTGTTTGTGAATACTTGAGAGTAGGGGTCAAACAAACAACAAAATTTTATCAACAACTACCTTCTAGTATTTCCAAATTCCTTGTCAGCTGTTAAATTGTCACGGAGAGTGATAATTTCATCATAACCAGGAAGGAATACCAATATAGAACCTGTGTTGGTATAATAAATAAATTTAATTTACTTCTAGTGGAGAAGACTCAAATTCAACATCTGCCAGCTATGCAACTGTAGCTTGAATAGAGAAAAAAGGATTCATACATTCTCACCATTTTTTTTTTTTTAAAGTATCATTAATAAAATGGTGGGTGACTAAAATTTATGTTCTTTAACTGGCACGGACAACCTAACATTGAATAAGCTAAATTGTGTTGATGGATTCCTTCATTTTAGAGGCATAAGAGTCCAGTCTGTGGGAGTCCAGTCTATATCTGCCTCACTTTATTGTGTCCTCAGGTGAGACAGTTTACAGTGTAACCTCACAGTGCCTGTCTCCACCCTGGAGTGTAATTGGGTACAAGGAAATTTTCAGTGAAGTGTGATGAAATGCTGGGGGTGACAGAATAATACACACTCCGGAGGGGGAAGGGAATCCATAGTTCTAATCTCTTTATGCCATGACAACCAGAAATAAGCTCTTACTTGGTGACTTAACCTAAAATATTTAAAGTTGAACTGACCTTCTTGCTGAGTGTTACAAATATATGTCAGTAGACTGGTGATTAAGTCAAGATCAACCTGCAAAAGGAACAGAGATTTTTACCAAAGACCTTTCTGCACAACTGAAACAATAGTCTAGTAACAACCTAGGCTATCCAAATTAGTAATGTTGGTGGAGAAGAAGGCATAAGAATCAGCCACAGAATGGCTACTCTTCCTGATTTTAGACATGTATCAATATACAACTTTGACATCATACTTGCTGTCTTCTATAGTAGATTCCTCATTCCAATCAGAAACCTGACATTGCAACCTATCAGTGATTGCAACTGGTGAGACTAAGGTTTGATTCAGACTTAACTCTTTGGAAAAAGCATTCTTTGAATAATTACAGGTGCATTTACCTAGCCTGCCTTACCCGATCATCATCAAATGTCTTGTGGTAAATAGCAAGCAGTTCTTTGCTTTCTTCACTTAATTCATTAGATTCCCTTTCTAAAGCTGTTTCATCCACATATGGAACTTTGGGTGATGACCTAAAAAGATAAACATAAAAATTTCCCTTCAAGACATTGGCAGATACTTCAGTGAAGACTGCCTTCACTCTCAAATTTACTTAGAGAAAAGTACACTGCACCAGTCAGACTTCATAATGCCTTCACACCCTAACATCAGTATGCATATTCTCCATACTGTTCTCTATACATTTCCAAAGGTGCTGACAAGGAGAATTAGTTTACCAATCAAGAGCTTCTTTAAATGGTGATCATTTCATTTATTCTCATCAGTTTAATGTCAGATGATTCAGGCAGATATGGTAAGGAGAAATTGGATTCTAGTCACTCTTAGAGGTTAAAGGGTTAATATGGCATGATACCTACCTTACTTTATAAATACTTTTCCTAAATCTCATCAAACCTTCTACAAGCTTTTAATAATCTCTAGATCCTTTTTTTAGTTGATCTATGGACAAGCTAGATGATTACATACAGGGCAATTCAACACCTGGAGTACACAAACTATTAAAATCATACTTTAAATTGTCATACTTACAAACACGATTCGAGAATTTGGACAACATCACTGTGTTCCCATTTCTTGGCCCAATCTATAGCAGTCCTAGGGGAGAGAAATTATATCCATAAATTTGTCACATGATTTAATTCAGCAACAAGACCTTGAAAAAATTTGATGGTAGGGCATAGGAAAAAATATTTCCTTACCATCCATTCTTGGGCTCCTTAATGTGAGGATTGGCTCCTAAACTCAGCAACTGTTCAACAACACCAGCACAACCTCGTCCTGATGCAACCATCAGGGCAGTGGCCTGTGTGTCTGAGTGTTGATGGTCAACTGTGGAAGAAGAGAGGCAAAGGTCTTCAACAGTGTTCTAAAGTACAGCTTGAACGATCATAGGAGAGGAGAGGTGATGTTTTAATAATCACAGTGGAATCCTGTTTGAAAATTTCACACCCTGGCCAGCTCTTTCTATTGCGTTTTTGGGTGAGAAACTTTCACAGGACCCCTTTCCACCAAGGGGACAGGGGGAAAACTCTATTGGACTAGCATCCCAGTACTCCTAGTTGCTACACAACATCAAAATTGGGTTAAGCCTTGGCTGTATGAGCCTCATCTGGACAGGATTCAGTTACATGTAACAAGGTGACCCATGTCTTGACTTTATCTCAGTGTTCTCCTTGTTAGGCAATAACCACTTATGTTTGCCACATTTTGTACCTCATATCACAGCCTAGGGCAAAAGAATTTGCTCTACCAGTTTGAAAATTTCTTTTGCCTGTCCTGAATACACAGTACATGTGCAGTGTACGTCAAAACTAAGAACTAGGAAGAATGTTATATTTTGCCAACTACTTACCACTAATGTTTTCATGCATGATCAAGTAAAGAATCTGGACAAATGAGTCCTCATCACCCTGTCAAGACAAAAGTGCAGGTTATCCTAATTTCTCATTGATTCTCACTTGATTTTAAGTTTAAATCTAATCTTAAAGAGAAAAAAGAGTTCAGGCTTTCACAGAGACATGTATAACCTATTTTACACTTACGTTTAGCCATGCCTCTGAAATGCTGTTATCCATTTCTTGCCGTAAATATTGTTCCTCGCTGTCACTCTCCTTGGAGATAAAAAAAAATTATAGTTTATAGGAATTTCAAGATGAAGGTTTTTTTAAGCTTAATGTACAGTTAAACCTACCTCATCCTGCTTATCATTGTCATCATTTGCCAGGCCTTGCAAAGCATTATCACCATTATCTTCCTGAAGTTTGATTCCTTCCACAGCTTCATCCAGCTCTTTAATGTCTCTATCATCAACTTTATCCTCGATCTCCTCAATATCTACATCATCTCCCTCCTCAACATCTTCATCATCATTTGCATCATTTTCACCTTCCTCTTGTCCTTCCAGTAAGATGTCCTCATCCATGTCTCCATCACCCAGTTCTTCATCAAGCTGGAATTCAGGAAGATAGTCTTTGTCTTGAGAATCTTCATCTAGTTTTCGAACAGGATCATCTTCAAGTTCTGCATCTGATAAGGGAAGTATGTGTTTATACATTAATTGTCAAGTAAACTAGTAAAATTATTCAGTAAAAGAACCTTATAAAGTTTACATAACCATCATTAAGCACAAGGAGGTAAATGTACAAAGAGTCATTAATACCTGCCAAGGTAATAACACAAACTGCTTATATTCTCTAAAGAATTACCACATACCTTCTGATGCCTGTAGTTCTACATCAAACATCCCTTCTGCTTGTACGTCAGCACTAGGAGGACCTGTCTCTTCTGTGTTGACATTATTCTCACTTCCAGTCTCATTATCTTTGTGAGAACTTTCAACTTCCTCATCATTTGCTGCATTTGAAACTTCCTGCTCAGTAGGAAGGGAAATGTTGTCATCCTTTTCTCCTGCACCATTTTTGGTTTGGTTGTGTTTCATATGTTTTACCATTTCCTTGTTACAGTATGATGTCCTGGCAAGTTAGAGTTGTAAGATTTGTTAAGATATTTGTACAGCACACTACCAAGACGCATGTATGTGGAAATGTAATAAAAGGAAAAGTTTGTCTTGGAGAATATACTTTCCAAATAAAAAATACTCACATTTTAAGAACATCTTCCAAGAAATATGCTTGTACATCAAAGCACCTACCAGGTACTGTGAAAAATAATGTGAGTTCACTACATCAGGCAATAGTACAGTTCCCCTTTGTTTATATGGCAACCAAAGAACAGTTCACTGGCCAAGCAATGAAAGATTGTTTAAGTAAACTAATGCATCAGCTCAGGACATTGCACATGAGTACAATAGGGAGATAATACTGTGGAGTTGTTTGGAGTGCTGAATTTGAAAGCTGGAGCTCCTTAGTTCAAATCCACTAATCTGCGATTTGGTTAAATTTATTTCCTTGGAAAAAATCTATGTCCTATTTCCTCCATTTTTTAAAAATTTATTGTGACTCAGATTGGTAGAAATGTGCCTGATACTGGTAGATTTATTACACAACTATAGAGGTATTGATTTTATTCTTCATCACAACAATGATGAACAGTTCTAAGATTAAAAAAAATAGAAAAAAAAATAGAAGGATAATTGCAGGTAGTCTACCAAATAACTTACCAGCCAGGCAATCATTTTATTTGTGTAAAGTTACTTTTGAAATATCTGTGGCTATGAATGTAACACTGGAAAAAGTATCCACACAGTAAAGGTCAAAAGTCAGGGTGTTAAAGGGCAAGTAGTTTGACTTACCATGAATAACTGGACACTTTCCAAAGTAGTCAATAAACAAGTTGATATCTAAAGCAGCACTCATTAAAATTAACTTCAGTCTCCTGTTAACTGTTAAAAGGTCCCTCAAGGCTATTAGTAGGAAGTCTGAAAATCTATCTCGCTCGTGAACCTCATCCTGATGAAGGAAAAATTTTCATTATTGTTCAGCACAATTAACTATTTTTTGTTGTTTACTTTCAATCTACCATTTCCTTGACACATCAATAAACATGACATAAGTTCTGTCTACAGTTACTTTTAATACAGTATGTACTGCCACTGAAAAATCAATCATACTTTACATGTGTATATTTATATGCCAACACTACTGGATTATCTTGGAGTCTCCAAGAACACCATGAGTCTTCGCAATAAAAGCATTACTGGTCAGGATCATTTTCCACAAAAAACCCTAACATTTCAAATGATTTTAGAAATCATGATATCATCCTGCTTATCTTATGTTTCTCGGCTTCCTTTTGGCAAGTTTAAAACTCAACTCAGTCACAATTACTATCATTTAACCCTTTAACTCCCAAGATCTGATTGTTAATTCTCCCCTCTAGCTGCTACACATTTCCTCATAAACAGGTTACAAGAATTTGGTGTTAGATCAAGATAACAATTTCTACCTGATGAGTTTGAATATTCTCATGATCTGTTTGCTGGATAATGTTTAGATATTATAAGGAGAAGTTACATGTTAATCACTTCTGGGAGTTAAAGGGTTAAGCCACTACCTTTTTGGATCTACATGTATGCCTTGTCGTAGCAGAAGGTGGTGGAGGGGGAGGAGGGGGGCTTATGAAATGGATTGATATTTTAAGATTTGAAATTTTTTTAGCAGTTGGTATCTCTGTTCCCTAACTTGAATTGAATTAGCTTCATATTGTTTTGATAAATCTGTTTAGACAAATAACTATCAAATACTGAAATATTTCTTATCATACCACTATAACATGAGTGATAAATGAAAGTGAATTATCTCCAGACATCAAAGTCCGTAACAGCACTCCAGTTGTACAGTATGTTAACAATGTTTTTGGAGATATTCTGCAAGATAATCAAGTGTACAAAAGATGACACATGTTACCATTGGTTATTCACATTAGACAAAAAATGAGAGTTCCTTACACATTAAATCAAACAATAAGACTAGTTAAGCTATAAAAATCATACTGAAGAGAGAAAATTTCCATGTGTAAATCTTGCAGAGTCTTTAAGAATACAATTAAGTAGCTAAACAAAACAAACCAAAAAAGAACTGGAACAACCATGATTACTTAGTGCTGACCCCACCACATAGAACTGATATGTTTGTTGGCTTTATATCTTTCATTGTTGATAAGAAGTATACAATCCTTTACAGTGTCTCTCTCTACTTTATGGTTAGAAGGGCATTGATAAACATTAGGGGTAACTTTCTTGTAGCATGTTACTTAAAGTGTACATCATACTTTTCAATTAGAAATGCTTTAAATTATATGTGAGATCTTCAGATTACCTATTATCCAGCCTAATTTGGTAACCAACAGTCTGTCCAAGTCTTTCTCCTCTTTCAGTAGCAACTCTTTCACTCACTGATAAAGCTGATATGCGTCGAGGTTGAGTGCAAACCACTCGGCAAGGAGTTGAGTTAGCATAAGCCTCCTCCAGTACAAATTGCGGAACCTAAATGTTTTGAGGAGGAAAAATAAAATAATGAATAAGGATAATACTGAATATTTTCAATGTTTCCAAAGTGATTTTATGTTTCAAAGAAAAAAAAATTTAAAGGGCAATTTTAGGAGAATAAGCATTGCTCTCCCTTCAACTTCAACTGGTTGTTAATTGTTAAATTTAAGTTCATTACCTGAGTTGTTTTTCCTGAACCTGTTTCACCAGATATAAGAACAACCTGGATGGACAATTCATAAGAGACAAAATTATCAATTAACAAGTAATATGACAATGCATAAAATTTTGGAGACAGCATTGATATACAGCTGTTTCGAGATTGTTATTAAAAGCATAAAAGTGTGTGTGACAACCCCAAACATATGATGGGTAATTTTCAGGTCACAGTTCCGAATTTCAGGGAAATCTTGGAAAGCATCACTGTAAGGACAAGGCAATGCATATTTGATAAATACATTTATCTTAAAGTATTTGATTTCTTAAAATTCATGGATCACAAGATACCCAAACTACTTTTTGAGATGGTCACATGAACTTTTCTCCTTTTTTCCCTTAACCTTTCTTGAAACAGCTGGATTAAAAAAAGTTGTTTTATTCAGCAATTCCTTAATTGAAAGCAAACAATTTTAGTTCAAGTGCACTAGATGTTCATAACAATTTTGTAACTTTAAGACTTCACCTGGTTCTCAGAAATAAGCTTCATGATCTGTTCCCTCAGCTCATAAATTGGTAAAGACTTGCGGAATGAAAAGAAATCATTCTCTTTCACAACTGGTGGGACTGCAGGAGTGTTGTTGTTAAGTCTGCCAACAACTCTGCTTTCTCTTCCACCACGTCCTTATTGAAAAAAATATGCATTATATACAAAATATCCATTTAAATAAAAATAAATAAAAAGTATATGTAACAACTCCTAATAACACTTTATACACTGATTTAAATTAAAATTACTTAATAAATAAATGGCAAAATAAAACAGCCATAAGTAAATAGCAAAGTAAATTTGGCCAAACCAAAGATTAAGTTAAAAAATTATATCAAAATGATGAATCATGTAGTTTTTCAAGGGTACAGGATGATTTTTCCCTTTTTTCGAAATAAGTTTGATTATGTCATATTTTCTGTTGTTTATGAACTATGGAAACATACCTAGGTACATGTATGTTGATACAGAAGACAACATTGAGCTAAATCAAAATAATTATGGTTTGACTCTTTTACTCCAATGATCTCATTAGAAAATCTCCTTACTGTCTGTGATATAATACTTATAATGTTACTTTGGAGAATTTGGAATTGGATCGACATATTGTCTCTTAGTTAATATTTTTCTTTATTTTCATCCCTTGCCTGATTCATATTGTATTGATATTGCAAGGAGAAATTCTGTCTTGGTCATTCATGGGAGTTGAAGTGTTAAAACTCATTTTGGAGTACTATAAAGATACTACAAATGAAAGATTATAAATCCAGTGAACACATTTGAGGAAGAATTTCAGTCTACCATATATGTCTTATCAGATTGCTTAAAATGAAGGAAACCTTTTCTTTTTAGAGTATAAAACAAAAACCTATTACTACTGAGTAAATCCTTGGCAAATAGAAACTACACACCTGTATCAAAGGTAACTGTCGACCTTTCTGTCTTGGGCTGGAGCTCTTGCCTTTCTTTGATGTTTAAAGGAAATTTCTTCAGTAAATGCTCAATATGGTGTGTAGCATTGCTGGTGAGATTCAAAACAGTGCTACAGGTTCCAGCACTAACAGTTTTCTTAGAGACTGTTAGAAATCTATTACTTCCATTCCTGCAAAGTAATGAAAATATAAAGGAAATGAAACATACCAATTTCAGCTTACTAAGAAAAGGTTTTTGTCAACTATGTACTGTAAGTATTAAATGCCCAATATGCCACCATGAATACATAAGAGAATTTGATGTATTTGAAAATCGTTGCTTGAAAAATGAGAAAGATCAGAAGAGAGAGTTGCACTTTAATTCAGCAAAAATCCATCCAAGAAGAGGGGCAAACAAGACCACTTGTATGAAAATTTACCTTTAAATATTGAACCCTCAGAGTGACTGGCACCTAATTCCTCCTTACAGTGTAATCCCGAATGTCAGTCATTTTGCAGTATTCTAAATCGTATGGTTAAACCCAGGTTGACATGTAAATGTTTATAACTGACTTCTAGACATTTGCGAACTGACTTCTAAACGTTTGCGAACTGACTTCTACATGTTTGCAAACCGACCAGCAATGTTTGCAAAACTACTGTTGGTGAAACAACCAGTAACTGTCACATCTGAATAAAACATTAGGTTCAGGAGAATAGAGGAAATGAACTTCAAGTAAATAAGATCTTGATTGATAAGCAAAATCTCCCTGTCACCACCTTAGGAAATGTATAATGAAGTAATGTGGAGAATATACATATTGATGTAAGGGTGTAAAGGGTAATATTATCATAATCATTGTCATTAATATAACTCATAACATAGAGCTGCAATGAAGGTAAACAATCCACATCTTACCCTTTGCTTTTTGATTTTAATCCTAAGTTCTGACATAATCTGTGTATGTAGGCTCTTTCCACAGATGTAAATGATGAAGGAAATTCTAGAACTATATAAAGATAACAAATCACCTCATGAAAATTCAACCTTTTCAGACACTTGTCCCTAACAAAAAGCACTGACTGTACATTCTGAATTTACAATGTGACGGGATAAAAAGGTATAGTTATTATATTAATAGTGATAATAAGCTGATGTTTCTGGTTTCATATGGTTGCTTACTGCTGTGAATCAAGTACAGAATGAGACCAAACTGTTGTACTGACACAAAGACACATGACTTAATAGCGCTCGGCTTTTTATTGTATAAATTTCCGCCGAAAAGCATCAGTGCATATAGACAATCCCTCATCACTGTGTCTGATTTATCTTGGCTTGTTTTCAAATTGCCAACCAATGAAACAAGTATTTAGAAATCGAGCCACGTTTCTATGATAGATCTTAAGGATAATTTTATTAGAAAAATAAGTACCTCGTCGATCTTACGGAAGGAGTACTGATGCCCCCCCCCATACATAATTTAAATGTTGTTTACGCGGCGTTTCCTGTTACAAATATTAATACAGTGTCACGCATAAAAAGGAATAAAGTACTAGCGCTCAAAAACGTAAAAATGCTTGAAAACTTCTCAGTTGGCTTTACAGTTGCCTGTGTAAGCTTCATCTCAATCAAACCTTTTCTCTGCAAATTATTCCAATCTGATAACAATGATATGAACACGATGTAGTCATCAATTGAGTTCTGGGAGACACATCTTGATTCTAAGAAAATCCAAAGGATTACCTTTTTGTTTCTCTTCAAATCGAAATCTATCGAGGGCAATTTTCACTGCGATCTTAAACTCTTCTTTCACGCAAATTTCTCTCTGAGCCCTTTTTGTCTTAGCCGGGCCAGTGTTGGCCATCTTTGATATCTGCAGTTACATAAGATTCAATTTACATAACGTACTTTTTCAGATTTGTACCGCTGATCTAACAGGATCAATGTAAATTTCTGCCCGTGCGATCCCTCCCTGATGAGAAATTTGACCCACGTGGAGGACATGACGGACTGAGCAAAGAAAGATTTTCAAAGGTTTAATTTGTTTTGCGAAATCTGATCGCGAAACGTTGTAACCAATATAATGAAACGTAGAGCAAAGGCTACAGATAAATCTTTTGGGGCTGATGATATATCGAAAAAGGTACGAAAGGACCCGAATTAATGTATATAAATGTAGTTGTTGTCGATGGTAAACAACAAAACAGCTGCATTCACCAGTTACAACATCACACTTGCACCACTCATTAGATTTACCATCACCTGTTTTGTCTATGAACGTCCATGGATAAGGTGGACCTCAGTGGTTCCGTATTTTGCCGTTGATTAGCATGACAGTTGGATGGATTTCTTTGAAAGTTTACTTAAAATACCAGGATGTGGCAAGAAACATGGTTATCTGAGTGCCCGGCTGCTGCAAAAAGTAGAGCTGTAGCATGTTATGGTTGGATGAGTGTATCGATCTCAGATATCAGCCAATTGGTCCATCATTTATGTAGACAACGTTCTTGACAGCTCAACTAAACTTTTCTTTGAGATGCCCTTTTGGTCATTGATGCTATGATTACACCTTATGTCTTAATTAGAAAGCTGTTGTTGTAAATGGAGAAGAAAACGATACAAAGACAACAAACTATAAAGACAGTCTGTACCGACCACCCACAAGCGAGGAAATCACTTCTCTCAAAGAAACTGAAAATCTTTTCAAGTCCAGTCTCTTCCGTATGCAGGTTTGTGCTTTTCATTCTAAATTTTCCCCAAGATTTGAATTAGGAAGACATCAAGTTGTAGCATTTGTCAATGTTATCATCACCCTAACCAGCTCTCATTTGAGTCATTGAATCAAATGGCCATCCAGCATCCATCCATCCAGCAGAAGAAAAAGTGAACTAGTAGTCTATTGTGACTCGCAGATTCATGAGGCTTCTTGCCACTGTTTGGTGTAGTCAAGATTTTGTTTAGAAGATTTTTATGAATCCCAGTGGTTTGTGTACTGGAGTCTACACTAAGAGGTCTGGGTTTGAAACCTGACCTGGTTATGTATTGTGTTCTTGGGCCTTCGACAGCGAATCTCTCCACCTAGGAGTATAAATTTGTAGCAGCAAATTGTTAGGGAAGCCTGAGGGAATGCTGGGGGGTAATCTTGCATCCCATTCAGGGAGGGGAGGGGGGAGGTAGGTTATACTCCTTGTTGTTTCATGCCATGGAAGCTGGGATAAGCTTTGGCTGAATCTGTCACTTTGCTCAAGCGCAGACTGTATCTATTTGTGAAATGGAATGATGTACATGTGCAGTGTATTCTGTGCATAAATCAACCTATACCAGCTATTGACAGTGTATTTTAATCAACTCTCTTAAAGATAACTGAACTTCTTGCTGAAGTACAACCAAAAAAAGACAGGAATAAAGCTCTTGATGAAGTCCTGCATGAACTCAATACTCTTCTGTTGTCATTACCTGATGGAGAGATGGTACACGAGGTAAGTTGTTTTGAGAAGTGACATGTCAATGCATGAGTGGTTTACTCATGAACTTCTGGTTGGTGACCAATCAGGTTAACTCCCAGGAGTGACCAAGACAGAATTTCTTCTTACAGTATCAAAATAACATTAAGCAGACATGTGATGACAATAAAGAAAAAAATCAATAAAGGGATAATTCATTGATCCTGTTCAAAATTTGCTGAACTAACATTATAAAATTTATATAAGTGTGAATATATAAAATTATGTGTACCAACAAACTGACCAGCTCCCAATTAGCTTGTCAGCGCAGTTGGATAAAAGCACTGCACTGGAATCACAGAGGTCATGCGTTCAGATTCTGTACAGGCCTGAATTTTTTTCAGGCCTTATTTTCTCTACTGCTTATTATAAGAAGTGTGAATTACTACGTAGAATTATATGCATTAATTTAAGAATTGCATGGCAGGTATGTAGTTTGGAAGTGAAGTACATGATTGTGTAAATCACTCTTACAAGTAGCTCATCAATATATCAAGCATTTACTGCCATGTATGTGTTATTAGCTTACTAATTTTCTTATAGATGGAAGATCACTCATGGCTTCCCAAAGAAACCAAATTTCCTCTTCCATCCAGCCTTTCACCTGTGAAAGGAAAGTTCTGTTTTAGAAGACCAGTTAGTGTGAAAGTTGTGGGGAGTTACCTTCTTGGTACCCTAACTAAACCAAATATGAATGTGGATGTTGCTGTTGAGATGCCAAAGGTAATGTAATTTTAAACTATTTTTTAAGCTACAGAACTAATTTTTAACTCCAATGAGTGACCACTACATAGCGCACTTTTTGATAAAATAATCTTTGTGTTTCATGTTAGGAATGCTTTCAACATAAGGATTACCTAAACCTCAGATATCATCACAAGCGAGCTTTGTACCTATCCATCATGGCATCACATTTAGTAAACAGCTCTTTATTTGAGAGTGTCCAGTTCAGTCACATGAATGGAGAAGTATTGAGGCCAATCCTGGTGCTTAAACCAGAAGGTGAGGTTGCTCACATGTACATGTAGCCTGCAAAGAAGTGTTGTTGCAAGGTTTTCATTATGGTGTGTGATAAATATGGATGCTGTTGTGTATCATTAGCTATTGAATGGGTTTACATTGTCCTCTTGGCTATGTTGTTAAATAAAAATCCTTCAAAGAAACAAGCAATTTTTTTTTTCTTTTAAGTTTGTCATAAATTATAAATAATTTCAGTCTAAATTTTTCTTTGGTTTGTAAAAGTTTCATATCAGTTCTTCCAGTTAAGATCATGGTACTCACTACTAAAAGTAAGAGATGGTATGTGAAGTGAAAAGCTAGAATTTAGGTGGTTTGAAGATCTTTAGAAACTTCACTTATGTTCTAATATGCAGTAAATACAGTATAAATAAATCGATTGTTCCTTTTTGTGTAGGTAAAGCTGGCAAACAGTTTGTCATCAGATTGCATCCCTCTTTATCAGAGGGCACATTCAAGCCTCAGAGATTTTCTCCAACCAGGAACAATGTTAGACGTCGCTGGTTCAAAGGAGAGGAGGGTGTGGCTGATGATACAGATGGTGAGATAAAATCTCTGGGTTACATATCTTAAGGGATGCTGACAAGAATTTGTTTAACAATCAAGATCTTCCTTAGTTGGTGATCATTTCCTTCATTCTCATGACCTTAATGTGTGATTCAGGGATGTTATTGTAAGGAGAAATTAGATGCTGGTCACTATTAGAGGTCAAAGGGTTAAAACAGTGAAAGCTGTGTATAGGAGTGCTGCATTTTAGATTTTTTGACTCAACTTTCTAATTGTTTTTCCTTTTCAATATTATTTAGACACAGGGTTACCAACCTTTCATTACAATGCATCAGTATTGTCTGACATGTTCCTGGAACGACACCTTCACCACTTGTACAAGTGCATCACAGATTTTCCAGGAATGAAAGATGCTGTGGCTCTTATCAAAGTTTGGTTGCATCAGCGGGAACTTGATAAGGTTTGGACATTTCCATCATCACTATTTACGACTATGATTTTCATTTCAGAGAGGTGCGACAAAGATTTAGCAATCAGGTTTGAAAATGAAAATTGTGCTGTTGACATGGGCAAATATGGCCCTGTTTCTACTGTGACAACTTGTTGTTTGATTGCTTTTAGCAGGCTCTCATGTTTGATGGTAGGGCAAATACCATTATTGAGATTTGGTTACCACAGGAAGCGAGGAAGGTTGCCTGTGACAACACAGTAATTTCATGGTCCCAACCCGGTCACCAAACTTATTGTTATTTCTCCACACAGGGCCAGGGTGGCTGCACTGGATTTTTAGTGTCTATGTTCATCTCTCATTTACTACTTATAAAGAAAATCAACAAGCAGATGAGTTCATATCAGATCCTTAGAGTTTTCCTACAGTTTCTTGGTAAGTATACAATAACAAATCTCTCTCTAACTATGCATTGTATTTTTTTATTCTTCATAGGACAAAAATATATATACTTTTAAAATAAATATTGGTCTCACTTTTTTCAGGATCAACTGATTGGACTAAAGAAGGAGTAACAATGACCAGGGAAACCAGTGATGATACTAATGTGGTATGATAAATATTAGTGATATTAGTTATTACAGACTTGAATTGTCTGTCGAAGGAGCTTTTTATCTATTTGCTGTTTAATCCTTTGGGTATCATTTAAAATTGCCACAAGATGGAAGGATTGGATGAGATGGAAGATTTTCTTTTAAATTTAAAGTACAGTGTATTTTGTGTAAAATATGAGATAAAGAAAAAATTGCATAGTGCTCAGGATGTTACCAAGATACAGAAAGCTGTTTTGCTCAGCAAGACTATTAAAGCTACCCTCTAGATTAACACATCTATGCATCCTGGGGTTGTGTGCGTTTTTTATTGTCTATCAAGAGAGTAATGTAAAAAAAAAAAAACCTGTAAGTTGTGGTTACAAGACTGTTCTCAAGTCATTATGAATTAACTTGAACAACCAGTCTCAATGACAATTCACAAATTTGATGTACTACAGCAACAAAATTGCCCTTACATATAAGGAGTGAAAAATTTTTATGGCTGTAAAATGGGAAGCAGATATTACCAAAAAAAATAAATGCTGAAAATGCAAACCTTATTCAAACAAATGAAGACAAGAGGAAAGAAAATCTGAAAAGAACAAGGAAAAGTTTATCTTTGTTTTTTTTTCCAGCCATCAAAAGCAGATTTTCATGCAGGGTTTGATGTGGTGTTTGTTGACCCATCTGGTTACCTAAACCTGTGTGCAGGAATGACTGGGGCTCAGTACAAAAGAGTGAGTGAATAGTAATTATTTTTGTAAGCATCTTTATAAAAATTGGAATCCATGGTTAAACTCTCAGG